GAGGACGCGTGGTCAATGGTCTACAGTAACCGCTAAGGCACGCAAGACACTAGAGTACGCCCCCCTCCCCCGCCCGAACATGGAAACAACAACGGACAAGAGCAAATTTACTTAGCCTCCCAATAATAAAAAACACTCCCCGGGAGCAGGTGAACAAGTGCAAACTTGCGATGACCGCGGCGAAGGAGGAAGAGACGCAGAGGGAGAAGGACAAGGCGGCCGGGGTCGTCGCGCGCGCCCCGTCGTACCCCAACAAGCGGCCGCGGCCCTCGGCCTCCGTGGCGGCGGGGGAGAGGGCCAAGTACTCGCCGCTCGGGGCCGGCTTCCCGCTGGAGAGGATGGTGGGTGACAAACCTCAAATCAAGCCTTGTTGGCGTGCTCGCGTGCGCGCTTGTGTGCGTGTGTTTGGTGGTTCTCTCTTGAGAAACCGTGTTCGTTTGATTTTTGTTCGTTGTGGTAGCGCCGAACCGACTGGAGAAGATGGTGCGGGAACCCTTGTTGGCGTGCACACGTGTGCGTGTGTTTCGTGGGCTCTCGTCAGAAACCATAGTTTTTTTTTTTTCGTTGTTACAGCGGCGAACCAGTAGAGCCGAGAGGAAATGCTGCCACGAGAATGGTGCGTTGGTGTTTCCCTGCTGCAGCGTTTTTTCTCCGCCCCCCCACCCCCCCCCCACCTTGGTTACCCTCATGGGTATGGAGATTTCAGGTGTCCATTGCTCCACAACCAATAAAACCTGAACGGCGCGTGCAAGGAAAGCTCTCGACGAGAACTAAATCGCTCTTTTTCGGGACAGGCAGCCAGCCTATCAGTTGTAAAGCTTTGACAAAATCGATCGCACACCTGTGTGCGCTCACTCAGGCTCTTTTGTGCTATCGTGCCCTGAGCAAGCAAGCAAGCGACCGGCTGCGCCCTCCCCTCTCGGCCCCCTTCTCCTTTCACTTTTTACGAAAATATGCATACAATCACAGAGAGACTGAGTACCCGTTGGAGATAATACCACAGTCGGCAGGAATGATGTGTCGAACGAAGCCGTTGCAGTGCTAGCGGGAGTTGAGTTTTGCTGACGCGCACCAGCGGCGTGCTGCGTTCGCCTTTTTTTTGTGCAGGTGAGCAAGCTGCGGGCAGGCGTCCCGACGTCTCAAGAGCACCTCGAGGACCAGCGGATGTGTGCGGAGGACCCGGATGTGAGCGATCTTTTTTCGCTGTTGCCATTGCCGTACCTAGCTGCTGCTGCTGCTGCTGCCGCTGCCTATAGCGCAACAGGTGTTTTTTCCGTGTCGGATATGGTGTGCGGGTCTGGTGGACACTGCTGGCTGGTTCGGTGTCGGCCTTTTGGCTCGCGCGTTTTGTTCCTGCGGTCGATTTTCCTCTCTGTGTGTGCCCTCTTGTTGGTATGGACCCCTGGGTCATTTTGCCCTTCCATCCCCTCCCCCCCCCGGTTGATGTTGGGGTCGTCCTTACCTGTGCCGCTCGTTCTCCTTTCGCTGACGGGGCCCCCGTTTTTGTTCAGACTCCCGCCTCGGAACTGCCGAGCGCAAGCCCCCTCTACACCTGGCGGGCGCTACGCCTGCTCGGCAGGGAGAACCCGGCGAACCTCGTGGGCTGCTACGACGGAGACCTTGTCAAGGTGTGTCGCAAAGGAATGCTGCTGGTGCTGTGGCACACGGCGTGATGGTGTAGCCGAGATGGGGTATGATACGATTTTCATCCACGGTAAAGCAACGGCGCCGGTCACGGCAACGTGGAACACGGTGCCGTTAGAACGCGTCGCGTGGGACGGTTTGGTACTAGAACCGGTTTTCCAGGTGGTAAGTGGCCCTCCCTGTACTGCCCGTTGCGGGGTGTTACGATGAAGGCTTCGCCAACATCAGGCGCGTCACAGCTGTGCTGGCCTGCCCGCCCGGCGTGATTCTCCAAGTGAAGCACATTGTTAGCCCCCCGCTGCTGAGAACCATCAACTCGGAGTCTGAGCCAAGGATATACCAGTTTTGTTTTTTTTTGCGAAATTTCACATGGTATGAAAGGACTCTAGTACCCACTCGAGCGAGTATGGGAGGGGCTGTGAGGTGTTCATAACATACACATTTCCCGTCCCCAACATGCTGCCGTGCGGTTCCAAAGAAGTCCGTGTTCCTCACGCTCCGCCATCCACTGCTGTTGTGTTGTGGGAAACGGGTTCGAGCTATTTGCGATCCCGATATTGTACGTGTTAGGATTGCAAGATTTTTATTTTCCTCTCCCTTTGTCGAGCTGGACGAGTGCACGGCGGTGCTGCTCCTCAAGCCTCCGAAATCCATTCTCGAGTCTTGGTGCTGGAAACGAATTGCCGCCTTCGATTCGGCCCAACCTGTATTTGCTTCTTGCTTGTTTGTCGAACGCTTCCATACTGCTGCTGTCGATTGCGTTGTGTGTGCCCAGGCCATGGAAAGACTCGACAAGGCTCAAGCCGATGCCGAGGCGGCGGCGAAGGCGGCGGAAGAAGCGGCGGCGGCGAAGGTGGTGGAAGAAGCGGCGGCGGCCAAGGCAGCGAAAGAAGCGGCGGCGGCGGCGGCGGCGGCGACGGCGGCGCCCACACAACCGACTAAGGAGGAACCTACCATAGACCCTCCTGCGGCAGCAGAGGCAGCACCTGCGGCCGAACCGGTGGGAGGAGATTCCACGGCAATGGCTGTAGACGGAGAAGAGGAGGGCCGGAACGTGGAGGTCAAAAAAGAAGCGGCGGCGGCGTCAACAAGTGGCGAGGCGGCCGTTCCCGCTGTCGCTGTGTCTGCCGACGCATCCGGTGCCGCTGACGCTTCCGCCAAGGCTGCCAGTGCGAGTACTGCTGCCGACACCACTCCCGCTGGTGATAGGGCTGATGACACTGACGGGGCCGTGGTTGGTGGTGCCGTCGTGAATTCTACAGCCGCCACCGATGCCACTGCCTCCAAAGCTTCCGCCACTCCTGCTGATGCCCCCACGGACCCTGATGGCAACGGTGTAGCAGTCACGGAAGGCGCGACGGCAACGGCCGCCGTTGAGGGAAGTAGCGGCAGCGTCGTTAGCCCACCACAAGAAGAAACACCCGACGGCGGCGGCGGCAGCGGCAGCGAGAAGACGAACGCCGTGGCGGATTCAACGGCGCCTGCTACGGACGCAGGGAAGGAAGCGTTGGCGGAGGAAACCCCAGCGGCGGTGACGGCAGCGGCGGCGGAAAAACCCGCGCCTTCACCTGCCAGAGTGACTAGGAGAAGCTCGAAAAAGTAGAAAGAGCCGCAGCGAGGGCGTGGTGCATGGGGGGTATGAGTCGGAGGCTTGTGCTGCTGAAGCGCTGTGTTTGCTACTCCACGGTGGCAGAGTCGGCTCCGATGCAGGTGGAAAGGCGCACCGTTGAACTCTGTGTTAGCCGAAGGGCGTGTTCAGGACGTTTGGGGGCAGCGTGTGCTCGGTCTCATGTGCTCGGTGTTCGTTAGCGGCATGGCAGAAGGAAGTCGTGTTGAAGATATCGACCCCAGCGTGAGATATTCTTCGTGGCACGATATACTTACGACGCAGTGTTGAGAGTGTAGTCAACAGCGGCGCTTATTTGCGCCGGAAATCGTTTCAGCCTGGCTTCTTCGATCCTCGTCACAACGACTGCTTGCGGGGGAAACTACTTGAATGAGAACGAGTTGCACGTTCGAAGCTGGGGATTAATTTATGGCCATGACAAGTTGCCATGGCAAGATGCCATGTAGGAGACGTGATCGCGAGGAAAAGGGTGTACCAAACAAATGGCCCACGGGGCACACAACGCCGCCCGGTGCAATCCGCGGTGTCTATCACCTTTGGCGTTCGTGCTTGTCTCGCTGTCGTATGGGTTACACATGCATGCAGTGCGCCATTAGACTTCGGGTATATTGTAGCCTAGTTCCAGCCGCTGTAAGCTGCTGTATGTAGCGCAACCCTGCCTTATTTCTTCGCGGCTCCGACTTGTTTGTACAAGTAAGTTGTCTACAAACATCGTCTCTCTGGGTTCACACTTCCACGAAAAGCACGGGTTCCCCTCAAGCTTCATTGCCATACTTCACACACGCATCTTACCCCCTCTACTCCGAGTATGATTGGAGCAATCATCGGGGCGGAGGAGTGAGACAACAACTGCGGGTGATTCGCAATATTGTACCGCCGTTGCCAACCTTACCTTCTGAGCATACGATGCTTCCAGCTAATGTACCCTGTGTATCTAATGCTGCCAAACACGCTCTATACTCCGTTCTACCTGTGTGTGAGTACGTGGGTGGGTACTGATCTGATGCAGCAAGCTCTCTGTGTGTCTGGTGTGCGCAATGTGCAATGTGTAAACACGTAAACACAACTGGGTGCGCGAAGCACTACTGGAAGATCCAGAGATACGAAGAAATTGCGACCCCCCCCCCCCCCCTCCTCTTCCCACAGTCCAGTCAATCGCCGTCGCCCCCTCCTCCGAAGCCGGCCTGAATACACAGTCCATCCAAGTCCAAGTCGTATTTGGCTTGCCGCACGACGTCAACCACCATGATCAACCATCATGAAACAAGACCTGCTCTCTTGTGCAGATGACACGACGGCGTGAATGAAACTGCTATTCTGTTTTGACCACGCTACTACGCACGGCGCACCCCCCCCGGCATGTATGTTCATCCGAGGACGACCACACGAAGCAGGTACGTCCTCCCAGAGCGTGTTCGGCACCATTAGTCCTATCCTCAGTGTGCTGAGAGACCGTAGAGAAAGAGAGAGCGACTGAGACGATAGAGCTTGTCCAATAGCGGTGCGTACTGAGATATGCGTTGCAGAGAGCTCAGTGGTGTGCTTCGTAGCCTGGACGATTTCTTCATGGGCTCCCCCAGCAAGTCCGACCCCTGCACCCCAATCCAAGACGATCGAAAGGACGGAGAGAGTACATTACTCTTTGGGAGGAAAGCGTCCAGGACCACGCATGGGGTCCTATACGTCAACGTTAGATCAACAAAGGGTGATGATGGCAACCAAAGAGATCAGGCCTCGCGAGCCAAGTTACGTTTTTGTTTGCGAAGTAATCTACTGGTAAACGTGCGCATGCATGCTTTTTGTGTACAGGTTGTCGTCCTGTCTACATGTAAATAGTTCGGTCCCGAGTGGGTGGGTGTATCACTGGGTCCCTGCTCCTTCTGTGTTGGAGTACATCATGTGGAGTGAGAGTCATAAGTCAGATCAAATGTGTGTCTTCTATTGTTAAGGGAGCAATATTGATATTGACGAATTTTGAAAACAAACGCAAGCGGTCCAGCAATTGTACAACAGACACACAAGACCAGTCGGGAGGCATCGCGAAAAACAGAAATCGTTGATTCTCGCACAGGGCGGCAGTAGAGGCTGCTCAAAAACTTTCATTTCACGCGTCTACCTCCACAGGCCTCCTTTGAAATCAAGATAAAATTCAAGTCAACAGAGCCAAAACGGAAGGCGCTTCAATAAGGTCAATTTTGAGGGTTAGGTGAGGCATTCAATTGTCAGCAGTAGAGGATGTCATGAACAGGCGTCGTGCGTGCTGGCACGTTCAGGTTTGCTACTGGAGCTGAAATATCGAAGGTCGCCGCAGCCTTTGAAAACAATCCGAAATCTGGGCCGCAACCAAGCGGCATCCAAAATTTGTCACAGCCATGCTCACCGCCACCGACCCCAACCTCCTAAACTACGGGTTAACGGCAGTAGCTGATGCACTAGCTACTGCTGACACCCCTCCGTTCAGCGGTTTACGGTCCGTGGCGGTGAGCATGGCTGTGACAAATGTTGGATGCCGCTTGGTTCCGGCGCAGATTTCGGACTGTTTTCAGAGGCTGCTGTGGCCTTCGATATTTCAGCTCCAGTAGCAAGCCTGAACGTGGCAGCACGCACGACGCCTCTTCATGGTGTCCTCTACCGATGACACTAGAATGCCTAACCTAACCCTGGCGGGAAGGTTGTTTTCATTTTTTTGTATAGGATTAAAGTATGGGAAAATAGCCAGTGTCAAAACCGCTTTTCTTCCCCCCCGTGATTGTGCGTATTGTTTTTGCCACGATGACATCAACCAAAGGCTAACAGCAGTACGCGCCCAAAGGAGTCCTCATGGGAATGCATTTTCTTTTTCTCTCATGACACGGATCCAAATGACGAGCCGAGATCTTAACTTGCGAGAGGTGTGCCAAAGAGTCGAGAGGGGTGGCTGTATTTGGACGCCATGCACGAAACAACGCGCACCTTGCTGTCACACGCACGCTGCTTGACCCCCCCTCTCAAAATGCAGTCTTGGTTGCAGCGGCACCGCAGGAGAAGCAGGAATCACCTGTCCCCTGAGGAAACGAGGAAGACATCCCCATACCCTACGCAGGTGCCGCATGCCTTGACAACAGTTCTGTGTTTGCTGAGATATTTACCCTCGAACGAGCCTCTGTGGTTGCAGTCTGAAGATAAGTCCGGTAGCATACCCGGTGCAAACGCAGGGAATTGAACGGAAAAGGAACGGCGTCCCGGCTCCGGCCGGTCCTTTGGTTATGCTGGCTCCGCCCCATGATCTTCTACATGAGATTACCGAACCGCGCGCGAGACGATCTTTTCTCAAGAACAAAATCGTGACGCGGTGCTGGCGAAAAAGCTACAATGCTGAGGGCGGAGTGTCTCGGGCGAGTTCCGGCGGGTTGGTTGTATGGATGTACGTACGTGAGCGCCCTACAAAATGGGGGTCGAGACGGAGTAGCCGTCACTTGAGTTTCAGACATGCCGGCGTTTGTCCAATGATACTCTACATGAGATTACCGAACTTCCTCAGCAAAGTTACGCTTTGTTGTAGGTGGTGTTGGCGACGAAGAATGCTGAGGACAAAACCGGGGTATCGGAACTCTTCTCGTTGACTGGTACATACAGATCCGCACGAGTATCTACGCACGAGTATCCTAACATGTTTAAAGACATGGTTTTTGTTTTTTCTCGTTGAGAAAGGTTGGGGTGGAGCTACTTTGCCTTCCTGGCGCCCCTCGTTAATGGGGTTGAAACGTCGAAGCGTAGTGAATTTATCGCAATAGCCAGCAGGCGTGTTACTCCCGAAGCTGACGGTCCAGCAGTATGCATGTCGGTGGAAAGAGACGTCGAATGCTTCTGAGTTTTCCAAAGAGGGTGCATCGGCTGGAAAAGTAATAAGCGTCACACGGCACCAAGTATAAATAAGCACCAAGTGTTTTTGCGCGTTGTACACAAGCGACCTCCCGCCGCGCCCACACTCCATTCTCCTCCTCCTCCTCCCCCTTTCCTTCTTTCGCGCTTGTTCTTATGTATCGGACGGCCCTTCGTCGGACCCCGCCCAGGCTATTCGAACCAGTATTTGCGCTTGCCTCAAGATTGTCCTGAAAGCTTGCGCACCCTGCACCGAACGCGTTCACCCTGTGGCGACGATATTGATCAGTTTATGCACTCCTCCCGCGCCCCCTCGTGTACTGCTGTGTGTACCTTCTTCGCAGAACCGTTGTCGGGAGATTTGCTCCATCCAGTTGCTCCCACATCGATGATCCGTTTCTGTGGTCCCTGAGCAAGCGTCGGTGCGAACAGCGATGACGACGCTAATCCTTCCCACGGATGACACGAGGCGAGCTGCTGCTGTGGTTTGGCACTTGGTGCTCTCTTCAGCAGGCATGCTGCCTAAACAGGCCGCTTGCGGGCAGAAGCCGTAGCGTTCCAAACCCGGAGCCGTTTGTCGCGTATTCCTCAAGAGCTTATTCCGGCCGTAGCAGGACGTACGTGTGCTGTGCCTGGTTGCTTGACGCTTCGCACATGGGCAAAGCCGTTTGCGGCTTTCTCAGAGCTTATTTCGACTGTATCAGGACGTACGTGTGTTTGTGCCTTGCTGCTTGATGCTTCGCACATGCGTCGTGTTATGTGATGCCATGCTCCATGAGCGGCCCTGTGCGTTGGTACTTGCGGCCACGGTCTCGCCATGTGTTTCTTGTTCGGGAGGTTTCGACGCCATGTTAAATGTGGAATGTTGCTATGCATAGCTGTGAGACGCCCGCGGGTATTTTTATTCTTGGTTGTACTTGGGAAGCATCAGTGAGAAAGACGAAGACAAGGGGCGAGGTTGGAAAACGTAGCGAGAAGGGAGAGAGCTCAAATCCCGGTGTCCAAGTCGTTGTGTTGAAACACTGCCCAGCCACAGGGGTTTTCGACGTGAATCCCAAAAAGAAATGCCTCGTGTGCTCCCGGACATATTGTTAATGTTCTCACAAGCGGTGGGGGCTTGCGTGTGAGCCTTTTTTTTCGATGTGGTCAAGCATCACGGTTGTGCCTTCGATTGTACCGGAGAAGAAGGTGTGAAAGTGCCAATCATACTGCCGTAGAATGTCTCAGATTACGGTAACGATGCGTTAGAACGCACGGGGGTGGTGCGATATCACCGGGACGATACTGAGTAATCAAGAAACCCTACAGAAGCAGCCGTGTAGTTCCTGGGTGCTTTCGACGCTTTCCCCCTTGCGACAACTCCGACACGTGCGATACCGAAGATGTCACGACCGTACTGCGTAACACAACCACGGTCGGCGCTAACACACACCGAACAAAGGGAACAAAGGCGCGACAGGAAAACAAAAGGGCATGCGTTTTGTCCGTCCATGGCTCATTTTTTTGGGTAAGTTAGCCTGTGACCACGGGAATCGACCCCGTCAAGTGTTAGACTAGTACGGACAGAGGAAGGTACTGAGCAGAGAGAACGGAACGGTTTTTTAATGTGAAGACAACAACATGGCTCGGCGCCTTCGTCAGCGGACATTCGTAGCTGTTGATGATGGCAAATGGTTAGGAGTTTGCATGTTGTCATGAGTCACGAGTGGCCGGTATCGTTAGTCAGCGGACTTTCGCAGCTGTTGAATGGTTGTTGAACAAATATCGTAAAGTGATCAGTGACAGCAGTCTCTTCTGGATCCAGCTCTCTGGATCCTTGTTTCTTGTCATATTCTCCGTTTGTATCAGTACAACATACAACATACCGTTCACGATACCGTGAAGTAACCCCTGCGCAGCGAGTACCCCGGAGCCACTCGGGGCTCGGTATCGGGTGCGATATCACCGAAACCCGTGCGATAATCGAATTGAATCACTTGGTTCTTGGTCTTACATCGCATGGGGGTGCGATATCGGATCACCAGTGTACAGCGGTAGACTAAAATAATGCGATATTCCCGAACCGTGCGTTCTCTCGTCTCCTATTACGGTATAGTCAAATATCTGTCAGAAACTCTTGGTCGGCGGGGTGTTTCGACATTTAGAGCCAGTGGGTGACTAAACTCTGAACCAGCAATACCCTTTCTCACGAGACCTTGATTGATTTGTTTGACCTTACACCTTACCCAGGGTACACCTGGATAGAGTTCAGAGCAAGAGAGCGAGTGCGTTGAGCGTGTTTTCATGTTTCCTTTTTGCTTTTTTCCTCACCCGGTTATCACAGCAGCATGTGCTAACAAGCGCCAGGGAGAGCCCGATGCATTCAGCTGCGGAAACGTGATGTCAGAGAGAGAGAGAGCACTGGACAACCATTTTCTTTCTCCTCAAGATGATTTATCCACGAGATATGCATAGAACGAAGGGTGGCACATGAAGCACCCAAAAGATCTTCACCGGCAAGTCGGCAAGTCACCGGGATCGATTACAGAGAGCCAGCCCGCAGAGTGGAATACGCCGCCTCGAAATTGCACAAAAAGAAACGAGACATCTAGAGATCGGGCCACAACGACGACGTCCCCCGCCCTGGACAGCACACTGCTGACACACACAGGGCATCCCATTGAAAGCCAGACAAGATAGAAAGACAACCCACGTGCGACAGCAGTTAGCCGCCTGGAAAATAAGATTGGAGTGTATTATGCTCTCGAGGAAGCAACAGTGGGTCCGGGTTAGGGCCCCAGGCATCACCCGCAGACGACCCACTAGGCGACAACAGGATGCCAAAGATGATGATGATGATTCGACGGCGGCGGCGGCGGCGGCAGCACCGCCGGTGATGGGGGTCGGTGGCATCGGCGAGGACTACGATGAGCGGGGCCCAAGAAGCGTGTCTTTTGACAAGGCGGAGGCTCGTGTGATGTTCGTCCCGACGAGGAGCGAGCTCAAGGCTCGCGACGATCTCTGTCACCAACAAAGCCACCACCAGCAGCATGATCACCTGCACGGTTTAGGAGGGCGAGTCGATTGCGACGGCGGCGATGGCGGCGGCTGCAACGAGGGCATTTGGTGGACGAGGAAGGACTGCGCGCGGTTCCGCAGGTCTTTTCGTCGTCAGTTGTGCGCCGAGAACCTCCAAGCTGAGCTGAAGTCGTTCCTGTGCCCTACCGAGTTGGTGTTCAGAGTCGGCCGTGGAGACGAGCTGCTCGAAGACGAGATGATGATGCGGAAGAAGCAAGAAGAGGAGGACGACGCACGAAGGAGGGGAGAGAATGGGGTTGTTGTTGGTGGTGCTGCCAGCGCTGGTGGTAACGATTGCGGTGGTGGTAGCGGCGGCAGCAGGTCTCTGATGGTCAGCAACTAGGGTCCCCTACTCTTTTTCCAGGTGATGTTTTTTGTCTTGATAAATGTACCGGCGCCGGTACTTCTTTTAAGCCGCAGGACGCTTGCGAATATCGGCGCGCGATTAACACCAGCGCCGTGCTCTCATGTTGTGTGTAGAACTTGGTTGTCCTGAGCAGTCCTTCCCCTATGCACATGTAGCCGCCGGTTTTTCTCCGTCTAGATTTGATGTTTTTGCTTGCAGCAGCAATGCTTACGTACTCCAACGTACCACGAGCATATGTACACACACAAACACAGAGGGTTGCCAACACGCTGGTCCTGCTGCTATCAGGCCGGCACGCATTTGTTCCTCCGCATCTTCTAGCAGTTACCAACTAACGCAACTGCCTACAATGTATGCAAGCTCGCCCGCCGTGCATCCGGTTCACGGTTCACTACTGTTGCATCAGAGTAGAGAATACCGTGCCACACCGGTGGGGTATGTATGCCTCGCGTCGGAGGTCGGTCGCTTATTTGAGGCTGGATGATACATACTGCTTGTAGCAAGTTTTCGAGTCAGCATGTACTGTCGAAATCAGATACCGACAGCTGTAAGTCATGTTATGGGCGATGGATCTCAGCCCTTTGATGATGTTGTTGTTGTTGTTGTTGTCTTCACATAAAAAAACCGTTCCGATCTCTCTCTACCCAGTACCTTCATATGTCCGTACTGATCCAACACTCGACGCGGTCGATTCCCGTGGTCACAGGTTAACTTACCCTTAACAGGTACACTCAAATAAACTGGCCCCGACGGGTCCGCAAGTCAATAGAAATCAACGACAGATATTCTGGAGTCCTCCACTCTCTCTGCGCGCTATGCGAGGTATCAGCTGAGACTAGGAGTCACTATCACGGGCCGGAGAGAAAGAGGTACACCCCCTTGGTTCAATCTTGGTACTTCACAACGCAAGCAGAGACAAAGGCCATCTGGCACAGAAGAAGAGAGAAAAAAAGAAAGAAAAAGAGAAAACAGAGAAAACAGAGAAAAAAATAAAAAGGAAACAGAAAGGCCATTTCTTACTGTTTTGTTTTGGAGCTGTCTTTTTCTTTTTTCCTTCTCAAAAAAAGACAACTGGCCACAGAACCCCTTCTTACGGTGTGGACAGCCCATCCGTCTTTTTCTAGGGCAGTTTTGGATAAGTCGGGGCTGTCTTTTTCTGTGGTCTTTTTTTGGTCGCAACCTCATGACGCTACCTACAAATCTCTCGACGGTTGATCCCCGCAAACTCTAACGGTGTTCACACGAGCTGTGTCATGTGACTGGTGCAGAGTCAGTACCATCAGCGGTAGCGTTGTTTTTTCATTCGGCTGGACCAAGTGGACAACCCGATGTGTGCGGCGCAAACAAGCGGCAAATGAGCCGAGAGTCTGAACGCAGCAGCGGGGGGTCTTTGTTGGTGTGCTGTCAACTTTTGCGAACCCAACTTTTGGGCGCCCTATAGCCTCCTGATCTGTGTCAACCACCACACAAGACGGACCATACGCGCAGCTCATGGCGGATACCTTTGTCATCGCTGATGCTGGAGTGGGTGGCGAGGGAGCATCGATGAACCCAAGTTGCGACACGGCGAAAGAGCAAAAACAATTGCTTGCAGACGAGGCGGGTCATTTTTCCCGCTTGTTCACGACTCTTGCGCTCACAATTTTTGAGCGACCTTCAGCCTCCTGGTCTGTATCAACCACCACACAAGGCGGACCATACACAGCTCATGGCGGATACCTTTGTCATCGCTGGTGCTGGAGTGGGTGGCGAGGGAGCATCGATAAACCAAAGTTGCGACACAGGCCAAAGAACAAAAAAAACTGGTTGCTGGCGCGGTGGGTATTTTTCCGGCGTGCTGTTGACCCTCGCCACCTCAGTTTCCGTGCCTCCAATCGCCCTGTGGTCTCTAACAGCCACCACCCAAGACGGACCATACACACAGCTCATGGCGGATGCTTTTGTCATCGCTGTTGCTTCACTGTATGCGGAGACATCACCGAAACACCATAGCGGTGGAAGGTGTATGTATGTGTGCCAACCGGCCGTTGCAGGGTCTCTTTTTTTCGGTCGATGACTCGGAATAGAAAAAAGGATGGACCAGCACGGCAAGAAGGGGGTCATCTTTTTTGTAGATAATTTTTTTGGTCGTCGCTTTTGGGGGAAAAAAGATCTAACAAAAAAGACACCGTAACAAATGGCCTAAGGAAAGAGAAAATAAAATGAAAAAAGAGCGAGGACAAAAAGGGACCAGGCCGAAAAAACAACAACATAAGAGACAGAAAAAGGCACACGGTGGAGAGACCACCAACGAACAAGCAAACACGCAAACATGGCCACCAACCAGCGATACATTGTCATCACTGGGGGGTTGGTGCAATGGTGCAGCGTTGGGGGGGGGGGATTGGCTAAAATAATTTCAATCCGGCACGTATCGCGCCACTCGATCCGTCTCTTCTCGTTTGCTTTCTTCCCTCGCCGTGTCGTCTGTCTCCTGCCCCCCTCCCGCCCCATTGGTTGTTGGCTTGTGGTTTCGTTTGAGCGCTCGTTGTCGGCTGGCCTCTTCTTCCTTCTCGTGCCAGGAGGTCATGAACCTTTCAGCTCGCTGCAGCACCGCCGCATGCCAGGGTACTCCCCCCTCCACCTTCGCGGCTTCCGTCCACTTTAACTTCGGTGCCGTGTCTTTCGGCACCGGGATTCCGAGACAACATGGATCGGTTTTCGTAGATTCGTGGTCGGCCCCGAATGCCTTCAGGTCGTCGAGCACACACTTCGGCCAGTTCATGTAGCTCTGATCGATACACACCAAGGGCACTGGCTTGCTTATTTGCTCAGATTTACGTCATGTTTTCGCGAACACTTGCAGGTGTTCATACCATAATCGTTTTGGTGCGGCGTACGAGGGCACGCACGCGTATGCAATACGTTATGTGTAGGTGGTCCTGAGCAGGCCGCCCCCTCTGCACATGTAACTCCAAACAGCCGCCGATTTTCTCTGTCTACATTTTGATATTTTTGGCTTGCAGCAGCAACTATGTTTTTCCATCACGCTGGTCCCGTCAATGCTGCTGTGACCGGCACGCATTTGTTGCCCGCATTTTTTACGGGGCAGTTTCCGATGAACGCAACTGCATAGCTCGCCCGCCGTGCATCTGGTGCACTACTGTTGCAGCAGTAGATAATACTTTGCCACACCGGCGGCAGGCGTATGTATGCCTTGTGTCAGGAGGTCGGTCGCTTGTTTGAGGCGGGATGGTAACTCCTTGTCGCTCAACGAGCAAAGGTTTTCAAGTCAGCAGGTGGAATTCAGAGTACCAAGATCTGTAGATCCATGTTGTGGATCCACCGATGGATCTCTGTCCCTACTTGTAACTCTGATCGATACGCACCAACGGCCCTGGCTCGATTACATGCTCAGATTTACTTCATGTTTTCGCGAACACTGTAAGGTGTTTATACCATAATCGTGTTTTGAGAACCTCTCCATACGACGAACGAAATGAAGAGTTTCGTGGAACGTTCCGAGGAATTTAGAAGTTAAACATGCCCAGGGGGTGTACCGGTATTCCGAACGTGGTATACTTTTTAGCGAGAATGGGATTTCTTACATTGAAAATCTACATACAATCAAAGAGAGACTACCCGTTCGAAACAGATATAACCACAGCAGCAGTCGAAGGAGCCGGCCGTCCCGATTAATCTAGTTGGTATCCTCGAAAACCTTCCAAGGCGGTTTCTTGTAAGGTTCGGAAATACAGTTGCAGTTAAAAAATGTGCATTTCCAAAATCGGACCAAAAACTGTTTCTTGTAATGCCCAGGGTCAGGGGTTCGAATCCCGGCGTAAGCGAGATTTTCTTGCAAAGTGAAGTTTTCTCTCGCTTCCGTTCCTGGTCGGGGTGGAAAAAAGCGCTAGTTAGGTCGTGTGTACACACGTGGAAGAGAGTGGTGCACTCTTCTGGCATCAAGAATCGAAGACAAGGCGCAGGAGCGGGGCGGGTAGGTGCCTCAGGGAGAGGAACACTTCTTCTGTGTGACCACGCGCTGGTGCAAAACGGCGCAAATGCTGAGCACTGATTTGAAGTGAAGACAAATAAAATAAAATAAAAGTCGAAGGGGATGAGAATGGGATTTCGTTCTGGACTCTGTCACGGTAGTCTTGATAGAGGGTTCAAGGGCGTGTACACGATGATCTCATCATCTACACGTGCATCGAGAAAAAAATTGTTTGTAGCTAGCTACAATAGCTGCAGGGAGATCCGCTTTCGGGAGAGAGCCCCTCTTGCTCTATATAGGGGATATCAGTGAATTTCCCCCGAGAAACGTGAAGGCCATGGTGACGAAACATTTTTGGGAGACAGCGGAGAACGTCGATAACTTCGCCAAGATTAGCTAGCGGCAGCTAGACTTGTGGTTATACCCCCTTTGTCGCCCCAGGCACAGTTGTTCGTCGAGGAAACATTTAATCCTTTCGGGAGCCTAAAAGAAAGAGATGTTGTGAGACAAACACAAACTGAGCGCTGGAAAATACTAGCACCTGCCCTTTCCACACACACATATGTACCTGTGTGTTTCCTTGACGTAATTTTTCGTGATCTGCGGCGTGTACCATGCGCCCTGTTTCCTCTGTATGTACTTCACGTGTTGTCATTGTTGCTGCGGCTGGTATTCATGTTCTTCGAGCACTCTCATTAGCGATACCTCAAACAGCCCGGGCTGCTGTGTGTCTTCCCAACCAGGTAGCCGTGTCGCTGGCCGATCCTTTGCGAACTCAGCCCGCAGTGACCGTAACGAACTGGGAGAACTAAGAAACATGGCTTTGTTTCGTTGCCGTTGTTCCTCTATCCTCATCCCATCTCGTTTTTGTCTGCCGCCCCCACTTTGTTGCACCTGCTTTCACATCGTTCTTGCGTTAGGTGAATCGACCGAAAGAGCTTCGGGCGCCGAGCGCGCGCCCGGACTCAGCGCCGTAGTTGCAAGACAAAACCGCAAACAAATGACCACTCGATCAGTCACAAAGCGCTCGAAAGCGCCGTGGTCTGGTGCAAGCACCTCACGTTCACGAGAAACGGCCTTGGTGGCGTACATTAGGTTGGAGGTTTTCAATCGGCCACAGCAGCGGCGGCAGCGCCGGTGGCGGCAGAGCTGCTGGCAAGTTTTTTTGGGTATCATGTGTTTGTTTGTGTTTTCTGGCTGCTGTTGGCAGTTTTTTTTATTTTTCCCAAGAGGTGACGTCACGACCGTGGGTGACGTTATCGGTTGGCCACGGATTTGGCGACCACATGAAATTTCCTTTCAAAAATAGTGGCCAATCAGAAAAGTTCGGTCGCCATCTCCTCATTTTATTCGAAACGCCTTGTCTCTAGCCCACGGCGAGCTTTTCGGTCTCGATCATCGGCGAACATACGAACGGGTTTCTACAATTGGCACCTTTTTTTTAAGAGTTCTATATGGGCTGGTTTTACGGCAGTAGTTGCTCTGGTGCGTTGTTCAAGTTTGTGGGCCTTGTAGCACACGCGTATATATATAAGCCGTTGTCGACATTTTCTGGAATTGTCGTGTTATTTTAAGAGTACTACGGGCTGGTTTCACGGAAGTCTTTGCTCTCATGCGTGTTTGAACATATGCACTTGTGTGTGCATACGCCGTTGTTAGCGTAGGTGTAGTATTCGTTTTCGTACAAAATATTTCTTGACAGCGAACTAATTTGTGCGAGCTTTTCCATCCTCTTCAAGGGCGCGACCTGAGCATGCGTGCGTGTGCTTGTGTTTTTATTATTAGCATCGACCGCGCTAGCCGGCTGTGTGCTTGCGTGCGTATGTTTGTGCTCTTCGTTTGTTTGTAGGGTAGGTGTGGGCGAACCACGACATTAGCGTAGGTCTGTTGGGTTCATGCACTATTGTGTGTTTTTGGGGCGGTGAACGTCTGCACTCCTCTCGATGCCGCGGAGGTCGGTACAGATATACTTGCATTTTATGGTTGTGTGCTTCTGCGCGACCATTCGGTTTTGTTTGTTTTTGTGTGCGCTTCTCTCCGTCCACTGGTGGGTTCCTTGCGCGCTACCACATAGCTCCGTCGTGTGCGGGCGTCGGCTCTAAGTATCGCCAGCTGTAGGCGGCCGGCTCTTTGTTGGAGGAGGTCGCACGCTGGTTCCTCCACGGTTTTGGGGGGTCGTCATGGTGTCTGGCTGCACCATGAACTCCCGCACCCCCACAATGAGGCGCGCTGGATCATTCTTCATGTATCCGGGTGGGTGCGCTTGACTCACCGCCAAGAAAACAATGGAGTGTGCGACAGCAGTTGATGCCTGGTGGTAGTAGCACAGCTTCTTCTAGCAAAGGAGAGTGCAGTGTCATCCGTGGGTTGTGCATTTGGGTGTATTTGTCGGTATCCGTGCCCACAAGGTTGTAGTATGTGTTTCTGGGGAAACGCCATGTGCGGTGCGAACCCGGCGGTGAACCCACCTCGGTCGTAGGGGTATAATGACAGCAATCGTATCACTTGTTTCTTCGTCAGTGGTTTTTTTATGCTGCTTGTTTGGGTCATGTTGCTTGGCCTCGCGTGTTGAGTGGGAGAAAAATGGGCTCCGTCTACGTCCATCTCCGTTGTCCGACATTTTGCGTGCGACGTCTGATCTTTCGGGGGGTTAGTTCTCTTTTTTATTTATATCCATGTTGTACCCCTCTGTGGAGGGGTTTGTGACCGCGGAACGTGTCCGGGTCGTCAGTTGGAACAGTACCAAGATGGAGGGGTGCTGAGCACACATTGTACAGCAGTTAATCGAGACATTTTTATCTGAAGTCAACTACTAACCATATGCAACAAACAACAAACGTGCGCGATGGCGCGTCCCAGAGCCTCTTTGTCCGGGCATGCGACAAGGCAGAAGACCTTGCGAACAGGCCCTGCGGCTGCATGAGTACGTCAAGGTTCCGCAACAGATTATTGCCGAACGCTCATTCATTCGCGTCCACGTGTCCCGCAGCGCAGACAGAAAGTTGCAAACAAGGTGGAGATTGAGATTCAACAGCGCAAAGAAAGGCAAGTCGGACCTTCTCAAATCAATCCACCCGCACCCGATCGACGGCGAGGTCGGACCTCATCCACGCGGGAGCGCCCTCGTTGTGGCGTGAAGGGTCGGGTAGCCGGGCGGCGGCCGCAGGGGCAGCGGCGGCGGCGGTAGAAGAAGAAGAACTATTCCTCTCTCCCCCCGACGATGATGATGCCTCTTGCATGTGCGCCGCCGCCGCCGTCACCGTCTTACCACGCGCGGCAGTACTTCTCGAAAAGCTCCTCACAACAGTTCCACCACCACTAGCCGCGTCAATATCCCCTGCGGCCCCGCGTCCTCGCCTTTTTCCCGCGCCTACGTTGTTGCCGTCAATGGCCGCCGCCTGAGCTGCGGCCGCTGATCCCGCTCCCGTCTCAATTGACACTGCTGCCTCTGCTCTTGTCGGATTCGATGTTGATGTTTCGCTCGAAACAGTGTCTCGCCGCCATGGCAGCATGGAGGCCGCCGATATAAGACCTACAATATATGCGAGAGCGCAAGTTGTTCAATCGGGTGGGTGTAGTAGCTCTTCCCGTCTTCTTCTTGCATGTCGTAACAGTCACATGCTAACAAAACGTGTCGGGATCGGTCAAGACCGGCTGGCGATGGCCATGTACGGTGGAATGGAGCACTGCAGCCGCGCGGGGGGGGGATCACGCGCAGAATCCACATTTCCTTGGTGATGTCGAGTGGGCACAACGTTCGAAAACCCTAGCAAACACCCCGTACGCAAGGAAACCCATGATGAGGAGCCTACAACGTCTAGTGCGCGTCATCGCACATCCCCCCAGACCAACAGACTATCAATGCCTAAAGAGGGGCGGCTCTGGAAAGGTCTTTGCATCTTTTTATAGAGCTTTCGTTGCGCACATCGGTCGGCTGTTGCTGGTTGTGGAGTCATCAATAAATTCGATGTCCGATGACTCGCACTACTACTACGGTATGCGAGTGCTCTAGACTATACACAGGCGGATTTGGTGGGTATGTCAAAGATACGGTGTTGTTGGTGATACACCACGGTCACGTGAACATGCACTGACTCGAGTGTGCGCGTGATGGAGTGCAAACGTTGTCGTTGCCATTTGGTTGCCCTGGACCAACACAGGGGTCGGCTCTGGCAAACGTCCACCCTCTCTTACCGGCGGTGGCGGCCAGGGGGTTGCCGTTCGCCGCGGAGGCCCTGCTTCGCAGGCCGCCTGCCGACGCCGAAGAAGAAGATATCGAGGCTTCCGGGGGGGGAATGCCGCCGCCGTTACCGTTTGTTTCGGAGCCTTGTGATTGTGTCGCAACTCGGTATTCTAGCTCTAAGCATCTCCTGCAAGTTTGTTAGCAGCGCGAGGTGGCGCGTGCGGGTTGGTTTCGGATTGTAATACGCGGGGGGATGGGGGGCGGAGGGTGTGAAGCGGGGGGTGGGTGGCGAGGGATGCCTGGAGTGGGAGTGCGACATGGATCGTGCCAGCAGGAACACACGTACGTTTCGGAGAACACGCCACGCTTTCTTGCTTTCAAACCAGTTAAGACTGTTTTTCTTCGCTTTTATTCGTGTGCAACCGTTGTTGCGCTACTCTCGCATCGCTACCGATGACCGTTCTTGTCCTGTGATTCGACTTTCTCTGTCTGTCTGTCTGTCTGTCTGTCTGTCTATCATTCGTCTGTTTGCCAAGAAAAACAAGGCTTCTTTCTTGTGCACGCAATCCAGCCGACCGTACCACGCAGCACGTCATACCAGTGCAGAAAAAATATGCAACAGATTGGTAATGATATGTCGGAGTCGGTAGGTTTCGTTGTGGTTGTCGTTTCACTCCTGGACCATCAACAAGACAAGTGGGGGTAGGGGGACAGATGAGTGGTTCTACCTCTGAAGGCGAGCGGCCTTGCGCCTGCTCTCCTTGGCGGCTTCCTCGTAGTCCGACCTCGCCGACCGGAGCTCTCCTTCTAGCCTGGGACAACGGCGGCAACGCAACGAATGCATGCAGCGGTCAACACTAATGGCGTAGAAGGCACGTTGCACGATAGGCGGCCGCGTTGGACAGGAGCGGCGTCTGTCTTGTCTCCTGCTATTGGTTCGTGAGAGAACGCATGTGCTCTGACATGACGACGCAAAGCGTATATTCAAGGAGTGGCTGATGATAGGCAGCACGCCACTCACTCTGCTACAACAACACCGCCAATCAATGCGTGACCGTCCTGCCTGCCATCACAAACGAACGGCCAATAGAAACATTTACCTACACAGAAAATCGATGGAATACAGTTTATGTTGTCGTCAGGCGCGTCGCGAGTTCTCTGGGGGCTGACAGCGAGGTGTTCCAGGTTGGTAGCTCACTGAATGAGAGAGAGAGAGACTGACCTAGCCCGCTCTTGCATGAGGGTCGACTCGAGGCGCTTGATCCGGTCATCCTTCGCCTACACGCGACAATAGGCGGCACGGTGGTACGCGGCCCGAACAACGAAGTGCAGGCGTGTCGTTTCACGTGAGATCGGAGGATGGATTGGGGACAGGTTGGCAGGCAGGCCGTCAGCACTCACGCACACAACCAATCGCTGACGACGCGCCCGTGCAAACAACACGGGCATTACGGGAGACTTCGAGAACCACAACAGAAGTTCGTGATCTCTCGCTCTCGCCGCTCGCTTGCTACTGGTTCAACATTGTTATCGCTGCAAAGGGTCACACGCAGAGAAAACAATTACTGAAAGCCATTCCTATTTATGGCTGACAGAGAGGCCAACCATATTCTACATTTGGCCCGGGCTGAGGTGATGCGGCCATGGAATCTCCTTCACGACCCCGGTTCAACATGATCGTGGCAGTGCCGCCGCCATTGCCTTCCCGTCGCGGAGAACGTAATTAGCCGTGCATGGGCCTATCTCATTACTCCCAGGCCCGCAGTCAGGCCTGCCGTTGGACCTCAAGGAGACCTTCACTTTCACAAGAAACAGCCCTAACGAATGGGACGCAACATCCAACGCCACCAACAGGATTAGTCGACTGCACCGTCTGCGTTCACCAATCTCTGGTCTTGCTAGACACCGATTTCGTTGTATGTTGTTACGGCGAGCACATCGTCCCCATTGCTGCAGCAGCGCCACTAGAGCTGCCTGTTCGTGCATACCTTGCTCTCGGCCATCATGTCTCGCGCGTCCCCCTTTCGTTCAGCGCCGGCAAACACCCAGAGAGACGTAGCGTTTTGTACGGGACACGCCGTCGCAAGCGCGCACAAGCAACGAACAGCGGTACGTGGTGTTTAGCGCCCTCGGTGCACTCAACACGTCTTCAGGCTATTGGGTCTTCTCGCGTCTCAACGATGTCGGGGCGACTCGTGTGTCGGGCCTTCGCCGACCAGGCTGTCATTGGTTGCGCCAGGCGCGTATTCGCCTTCGCCGACCAGGCTGGCATTGGTTGCGCCAAGCGCGTAGTCGACAATCGACTGTCTGTGCGGCGTTGAGCTGGTCGCATGAAGGAGGGGCAGCGACTCAAGAACCTCTTGCGGAACGAAACATGGAACTTCCCCATGCTATTGTATCGCGCAAGGGCGGTAAATCCCGACTCCTTTGGCTCTTGGACGAGGGAAATCAACACGCCGACCTTCGGAGGAAGGAAGGGCTCACTACCTACACCAGCAGTTAGATGTTCGGCTTGCAACAGACAGCAGCCGCCGCGAAGCCATGAAAATGTTCATGGGTAAAAGAAGAGTTGCGGCAGAATATTGCCGGATTCGTCATAGCAACGACGTTTGCCTGGGAAACAAGACCGGAGGGTGCGTGCGTGCCAACTCTCCTCACCCTCTTGCGCTGCTGAGCCTTCGCCTTCCGCTCCAACAGGGACCTTGTCCTGTGTGGGCCCACCCGAGCATGCAGATGTTGTGTTCGCCGAGTAGCAACCGTCGCCAGCACCGACGTTGTCGAGATGAAGCAAGGCGAAACGAACAGGACCAGGTAATGTAAGCAAGCCTTCGTTCGTCCACTCGGCTCGACCTCGAAATCAAGCAAGACCTGACAGAAGCGTTGAACCTAAGGTGTAGAGCTCCTCGAACTTTTATAACATCGGAGTCTCTCTTTCGGACATGCATCTCTGAATGCATGTGTGTTCGTTTATTCTGTACTTCTAATAGGTATTGCCCATCTCTGTGCATGTCTCTGCCATTCTTGAACCTCGATCCCGTATATCTCTTTCTCACGTATTTGTTCGTCTACCTCTCTCTCCCTCCGTCGTTTCCCTGTCGTCTTGTCACTTCAGCCTATTGTTTTTCTGCTTCGTCAACAGGGGGAGATAGCGTGACGTCGACCAAAACGAACGACCAGCCGACGGCGCTCTTCCACGCGCGTACATATCATCCAATACAACACCACCTGTCCCAAATAGACCTACAGCCGAACCGACGGCTTCAATGTTCTGAAAATACCCCTCCACCTAGAGCGATGTCTCACGTTCAATGGCACCCCCAAATTACAAACTCCGCTGAACAAATCCGTCAACTGTCACAGAAAGAGAAAACAGGCCAAACAAAAACCTCACGGGTAGTCAAACAACAATTCGTCGAAGAAACACATCGATATTACGTGCAACGACCAACCTGATATCGTTCTCCTCTTCCAAAGCGTGCATCCGCGCCCGTAGATCCTCATTGGCGGCGGCCTCGTTCCCCAGCTGGCCGGCCAGCTGCCGAGACTGGGTGTTTGGCGGGTTTCATGAGCACACATGCATATGTATATTGCGCGATTGTGTGTACACATGTTAGCGCGATTCCATGCTTGTGTGTGTACATGAAATTGTGCCAGCTTCGTTAGGCTTGTTGTACGTCCATGTATATTGATTGCTTGTGGGTATGTCGCATGTTTTGTCATGTTCATTTCGTGATGTTGCATGTTCACCCCTACGTGATTATATGGCGATTTTTTTGTTAAGGTTAGATGGCTCAATCGTTGGTATTGGGTTGGCTGTATGGTTATCTAATGGGTAGGAGGCGGTCGTACTTCCAAGGCGAGAGCTGGTCGACGTTTGCGCGAGCGAGGACAACCAAACGAAAACAACAAAGAGTCCACCACTCTCATGTTGCAGTTGCCGGGGGGTAGTTCACCTGGTGACTCTTACAGGTTTTTCCTCTCGATGTCTTGGAAAATTGCTAATGTTATCATTCTTGCAGTTGCTCTCTCTCCGTCCCCCCAACGTGGCCTGTACCCCACCCCGCCTCCGTCCACCTGGACGTTCCTCCGCGCCCCTCTGAAGGCACATTTCTTTAGAAGTACACGGTTCATCAGCGCCAACAGCGTAGAACACCCACCCCCCATAAAAGTGTGATCACCTTGTGCTTTGCGGCTTCGAAACGCTCTTGAGTGAAGCTGAGCTGCTCTTGAACGGTCTCGCGCCTGCGAGGGGAAGCGTTGTCTCTTGCACGTGAGAAAACCAAATGCACGAAACGGCACCTCCCGAGAATAAATTGAGTAGGAGAGGCGTGCTCGATGCAGCGCGTAGGGAAGGCGCTGTGCTCGGCTGACAAGGTATGAAGAACTGTCTCCGAAAATAACGAGTCAAAGCATGCGCGAAGGTATGGTACACACACACAAAAACAATGGCACACTAGATGCCACTGGAACGGCATAAATAGTAGCAAGCGTTCACCCCCAAGAACTGACGCAGTGCCATCGTTGGTCAGCCAAGACTCCGCGCGGTCTACGCCAAAATCAAACGAACACGCGTACACGACCACATCCAGTTTCGTTCGTTGATCCACTAAGGCTGGCGTCTTGTCAATGGCAAGGCAGTCGGCGGTGGTCGATGTGGCTCAACATGTACTCACGCACAGCGTATCTTGATTCGTACCAGATATGTAGCGCCCTCGATGCTCACGAGAGAAACCCACGCAGATTTACAACACGTACAAAGCTTTTGGCTCTTTTGTCCCGTGAACACCCACACCCGAGTATTAGTCGGCGTGCTCACAAGATCATGCACTTAGACACGCTCCCTCTCCCTCTCTCTCACTCTCACCCACTCACTCACTCAGACGCACACATACGCACGCCAATTCAAACTGTGCCCCCGGGGATCTTGATTCCCTACCTGCTCAAATTGACGTATTTTCATTGGTTGGGCGGGCTATCGCGGCCTAATGAAGCACATACAACGCTTTACCGCGGTCAATGAGGTTTGTAAAACAAGCGTACGCACACACACACACACACTTGCCTTGAGCGTTCGGTCTTGGCATCACCAACCACTTCATCCAGCCGCTCCGCGCAGGCCCCCAGCTCACGATCCCGTTCCCTCAGCGTTTCCCCAAGTGCCCGGAGCTCGCGAACTAGGACCTCTGCAAATCCGATCCGAGAAGAGGGAGGGTTTCGAAGGTGCTTCTCTTTGTTGTTGGAGCGCGAGGCTTCAGGTCGGGACTGGGGGGTGTCGCCCAAGGACGAGCGTGTAGAGGTGTGTTCAAGGGCACTTGGCGTGCAACAAGCCGGAGTACCACCACACACACGCCGCCGTTGGCCTCCTCGCACGATCCAAAGTACCGCACGCTCTCCTTGGGTACCGCTCTCCCTGGGCCGTGGTTTGGCATCGGTGCGGCGACGGTGTATCTCTTGAGGAGAAGGCTTCTCAGGTTTGCCGTGGCCTTTTTGGCTTCGCGTGACCCGTCCGGACCGCTCTCCGGCGGACGAAGAAGACCCCGCCGGTGCCGATGGCTGAATGCGACCGTCCTACAGTACCAGAGTACCTTCATAGCCTGACGCCTGAATACGCTCCAAGTCTATGTTTGCCGAGTATTGTAAACCTTTCCCCCAACGTTTTCCGCTAGATTTCTTCGTCTTAACAGAAAATTCGGCGTGTCACGTGTCCGTGATGGTAAGAGGTTTCCTGCGGGACTTTTGCAAGCTTGTGTTGTTTCCTGTGCGCGTGCGAAGCAAAGCCCGTCTCTCTGTGTTTGCGGGCGCTAACCTCGGTGTTGAAAGAGTGGGATATTCGAGAAGTTTGATAGGAGAAGGAGCGGCGTCGGAGTTAACGACTCTAACGTTTTTGTTCCACCAGCACAAAGTGGTACAGAACAGGCAAAGAAAAACACTTACAGCAGCTTTCAGAAGATATTCTGCCTCCCGCTAGTGTCGACATGCGGTACGGGCGTAGAAGGAACAATAGCGCGTGAACTCCTACTTCATGTGATCGGGTGCACATCTGGTTTGCCTGAGATTCAGGCGATATTCCCCTCCAGATGTATCTGGAGGGTATCACCTTCTTGTTTCCCGTGAGAAATATACCTCGGCATCGCTACATAAGCAAGTGTTGAAACCCGTCCTTTCTACGAAGCGCAACAAAACAATCCCTAGACCTCGGAACGTAAAAACAGTCGAGCCTCACCCGCGACGGTTGTTTCACCATCGTTCCCAATGTCCGGCCCGTTGCCTTCGCCGTATACACCTCGGAGGTATTCCTCGGCCACGGCGTGCTCCTGCTCAAGGTAATATTGAGCGGGGGAGAGCATCAGCAGCATGAGTACCATCCTCGTACTAGCAGCGCCACATTCAAGGGAACAAAACCTCGGTTGTAACAACTCCTACTAGGTGGGCGGCCGTACCACCATTACTCAACGTTCACAGGAGTGGATCTCCTCCGAGATCTTAGGTGTATTTGTACTTTACGGGAGCTATTGCATATTAGGACTGCCAAGGCGAGTTCAGAGTAGAGCGAGAGACACGATACACAACCCTGAAGGCTCCATTCTTGTATGTTGACCCTGGAGCATACTGTCCATGGTCTCGCGGAAAACACATTGCCAGAAACGAAAAATACCGGGTACTCTTACAGAACAGAAAAAAAAATGTCCGCTCCTGTACTGGCGCAAGTTTCGGTTTGCCAGCCTGTGAAGAGATCAGGCCTCTAGGCGACTCATTCTCTCACCCTGGTAAGAACGTCCTCGACCGACCTTCTCCTCGCCGCTTCCTCCTGCACAGCCAAAATTATGGGTCCAATTATTTCCACGACTCCCGCGACCGAGACAGCAAATGTTGACGGTCGACTACGATGCTCAAGGCAGTCCAAAATGTTCCCCGAGACTTTCGAGTTCAAGAGGGGGTACCCGAAGATTCCAGTACATGCACGCGGTTCGGCTCGTGTGCCAATTGGTAACGAGAGAGAGCTCAGGGGGCCTGCTTGTCGGATAGAACTTGGAGAGCGTCTCACGAAGTGGCAGAAGGTGAGGAAACGTACGTCATTGCGCACGAGCATGTTGTTTTTCGTGAGGAGCGGGGAGTTTAGCACCACACTCCCAGCGCCGAAGGCTGCTTGGCCGTGGCAGCAGAATCATATCGAGGTGCGCCAGTAAAGCACATCGCATCAAACAGAAAGATGCGTACCTGAAGCCACCCTTTAGACCGCTCCGTGTTGTCCTTTAGCTCCACCCGCAAGGCGTCCACCTCCCACTTGAGATGCCCGTTCTGCTGCGCTGATATCTTGTTGATGTTGTTCGTGATAATCATGAATGATACCGGGAACAGAATTATGCCGGGAGTAAGGGAAATAACTATGATACTGTGCTGTTGCCCTTTATCCATGTTTACACCCAGTGCTTCGAAGGGAACCGAACCTACTAAGTTCTCGGCGTGTTTGCCGCGTTGGTTGACACTCCTTTGGAAAACTTCAAAGAAAATAGGAGGAATCCCTCTAAGATGGGTGAACTAAACAAACAACGTCGTTGCGTTTGTATTATTCCCGGTGACCTACAGCTATGTAGAGCTCAAAGAAGAAAATGTTTTCCTGTCCACCACCGTAGGTCGGTGTATCTTCTTTCCACACCTCGGCCTCCGCTTGCTTTTGTTGCAACAGGTGCTCCAAGTTGTTCCGTGCCACTTTCTCTTTGTCAAGAAGCACCTGAACAGTAATAACAGTGCCACGTACGGTACACGGTCCACGAAGCCTAAACCTAAGCGAGCAGCAAAAAATGGATATGTTCTTCGCCTCACGAGATCATGCTGGATTGTATTATCGTTGCAAGAAGGGGGGGGGGGTGCCGTTTGTGGCGGGCTGTGTGTTTTTAGGAACAATTTGCAATACCTAGTCTCAATACACCTTGATGTATAAACACAGAATTTTGTACATGCGGGAGTACCTTGTTGTACCCACACAGAATTGTGCTTATTCGGGAGTTGCAAAGAGATGCTTGTATACGTTGAAATTCTAAATACATGTACAAGATATAAAATACATTGGTTCTTTTTCTACAAAGGCAACCAAAGCACAATATAGGTCAAACATACAACATTTTGCGCCCCCCAGTGATGATCTAGTTGGGCACCTTTCGCAAACCTAAATCTACTATCATAATAGTAACAGGTTATGGGTTTCGAATATTTCTCGAGAGTACTTTGCTATTCTGCGGTGGAGCGGTTTTACCCGTGATAATACACAACAAGAGGGACTGGACCGCTAAGTCGTTCTTTCGTTGAAGCTCGAAAGCAGGCAGCGCAGGGGAAGGCCGGACTAATGTACTATGAGGCTGGACCATGTACTATAAAACCCGATGATTGATTGACCCTGTGCTGTAGCTACATCCCTGCGTGGCCCAGGCTGGTACGGTACGTCCGACATATACCGAAAGGTGCCAAACTGGAGCCAGAAAGATTATACCAAAAGGCGCAACCCCAAAACAACACATGGAAGTATGATGTAGAACGCATCTGGTACAAAGCTCGCGATGGATTCTGGTGGTTGGGCAAGATTACTGGACCGCCTCTACCGTCCGACTTCTACGTCGTCCGCTTCTTGGACGATCCTGGCCCTGTCAAGCTCGCCCTTCCTGATGTTCGCTACTCCACCGCTGAAACCGCCGTCTCCGGATCCTGGTGCCTCCAAGTTCACAGCGGCAGTGCCCTTTTTAAGGGGATCCTTCGCAACGTCGACATGTCGCGTGGTGACCCCGGGACTGATTCGTTGCCTGATAACGTTGCGCGCCCCCATTAAGACGACATGCTAGTTGTCTTGGCTTTCTGTTGTTCTCAGCGTTGTTTGGGTTGCTTTTCAGCCTTGGTTGGTTTTCGCTTTCTCCTCGCTTTATTTTGTGCCTTTAGCGTTTGGTCACGACCTGTAGGTGTTTCGCGCCCATTCTTGCCCCTTCTACACTGCCGTGGCGACTGCGTGAATGGCGTATCTTATCGTTGTCTTACGACACCGGTCTTGTTGTGGTTCCTCCAGTGATCCTTTCTTTTGTGTCGTTTTGACGAACGACCTTTGTTTTTCTTTTCTGTTTTTCTTCCTTTCTTTGTGTTTTCCTTTCTTTGGTTCCGACCTTCTTCCGGTCGTCGTAGGCTTTTCTTAGCCCCGTCAGTTCCTTCCTGCGTCTTTTTGTCGTTTTAGAAGTCAAACGATGGTCTTGCGACTCATCGAGTGAGAGGTGTGGGAGGGTGAATTGTGCTGTTTTGGAGCTCCACATCCTCGATACTTTCATTTAGAGACTCGACAATTGCTTTTCAAGACTCCGAGGTTTTACAGTATCTGCGTATGAGAACCTCCAGGGTGGGCTAGTGTTATAGGATTCAGATGTGTAGACGGAACATAGAAGAGCTTGGTTCCTTCTAGAAGGCGCGGAGAGATGTAACTCTCCGCGGAAGGATAAAAAGCAGGGGACAGGATCTAGTAGCCCCTGCTTGTGCAGAGGATCCTGTGCCCCTTGGTGTCATTCCTACCGATACCCAAGGCAACAGCTACTGCTGCTGCTGTTCTACAAGAGTAACAACAAGTGAGTTCTTCTTCACGGGTCAACCAGACTTCATCACGCGTGCATACCACTACACAAACATGTCATCTTCACGGTCGACAAGGCACCTGTAGTTTGTTCGCGCCGTCCTCGATATTTTTCTTGGCCAGCAAGGCTCGCTCGAGCGAGACTCCCAGCTTCGAGGCCTTTTCCGAGAGCATGTCAATGACCCCGTCTTTGGCTGCACGTGTGTGTCGCTCCAGTAAGGCGCTGCTTTGGCTCTCTACGGCCATACGCCTGCTCTCACCATGACCGTCGGCTGCCTCAAACCCTGGCGCTGCCGTATTGCTTTGTCCATGTCTTGCTGTTCGGCGGTGATGGCTTCTCGATGAGGAGGATGGAGCTTCTCTCTCTGTTTTTGCTGTTGTTGCTGCTGCTGCTTCTGCTGCTGCTGCTGCTGACGTCGTCGCCCCGTTGCTTCTTCCGTCGTTTGCTCTTGCTTCCTGCTGATGAAAGAGACCATAGCTCGTCATTTCCGGGGTTCCGAGCACCGTGGTACCTGCGTTGGGATTGGGTGTACCACGTTCATTTTCTGTAGTTGCGGAACAGAGGACGAGCTTGTAGGAGTTTGGCATTTTCTTTAGGGTGGGCACTCAACAAAGAACCCCGACCACAAGGGTGGTGCGATCTTTCCTTCGGCGAACATGGGCGTGCATACTGCTGTGGTACACCAGACGACAGAGTGACCCGCAGTACCTCGGCTGGCCGATGATCCTTTCTTCATGTTGCCTGAACGAGTACCCTTCCTGCACCTGCTGGCGCTACATCTAGCAATGCCACCTCTCCCTGTCGCACGTATTGATGTCTCTCGGCGACGCTCGGCACGTCACTAACAGGTGTGTAGTGAAACACCCTCACCCACAAGCTCGCAAGGCGAATCCGTTTCAAACATTAGTCTAACACGCGGTACAATTATCGTGATGCCGAAGCGGCGTGATCGAGGGATCGTGAACCATCGGAGATTGGAGATTGGAGATCTCGTAGATTCCGCTTCTCTCTACCAAACCGACACACTCCCGCCCCGGCGGCTGGCCTCTCGGCTCACAAAGAAGGCCATGCTGTTGGTTCGACGGTGCCCTACTGCTTCCACGGCAGTACGGCGGCCGGTAGTGCTTCACCATCTCTCAAGGAGCACGTCATCGAAGCCATCAGGCAAAGACAGACGTCATGCTGAATGGCATCATTCGAAAGCTGATGACACTGATGACCTGCTCCCTTTCGAGGTATGCACAAAGCGCGGGGGCGTGAGGGGCACACACGCATGTGGTGCTTCTGCTGTAGCTTTCGTTCAATTTGCTGTTCCACGATTGCTGTTCACACCGGCAATGATTTGGCAGCCGCGATCGTGTGAGCGGCGTAAAAAAGTGGACCAAAACTCTCTAATCGAGGGCTCTTCGATTTCGAGCATGTGACGGAAGGGTTGCTTGCCCAAAACGAGGCCCTCTGGCTGTAATGGAATGACCTTTCCCAGGCTCAACAGCTACGCAAATGTGCAGCAGCGTATGCAACGGTTCGGAATTCCGTCGCGATTCGTAACTCCGAAAAGTCTCGATTTCAAGCTCTTGCTGGTTGTCCAGGTCCGTTCGTGCGTGATTCAAGTGCGTGAGATTCCTGGTACTACAGCAGTATTCAGTGCATGTTGTGTTGATGGTGATGATTTCAATGAAGTTCAACAATATAATAAGTTTACGCTCTTCTGCTGGTGTACGCCCCCCCCCCACCCCCCCTCTCTCTCCCTCTCCCTCTTTCAACACGGGCAACTGAACTGCGGTCTTATTCCTTTGTCCAAGCATTTTTACCTCCAACAGTACTCAAGTCACCTATAATACAATTATCCACGGGCTACTGCTAGTCTTGAAGTCTAATGATAGCTCTCCTTTGTAAACGTTGCCGTGACTGTGCATGTGAGCATGTGTCAACGAGCCTAATATATATATAGTGCGTGAGTTCAGTTCCTGCAATGTTTTTTTTTTTGCAATGAGCAAAGCTAACGACCCTGCCTAAAACTTGAGGTCGCAACAGTATGTAGTGCCGGCCCTATCCATATTACTGCTCATGGTGTATCGAACCCCCGCCATCCTTTCTGAGGAGCCCGCTGATCCTGGCGTGCAGGTACTGCCTCAGGGTGGGCGTCCTCAGCAGCAACAAAACCGATGCCAACAGCAGCAGCACCGGCTAAACCGACTACAGAACACTCAACGGCAGCAACAGCAACCACCCCGGCCACTACACCCTCAACCTCTACAACATGCGAGAGCAAACCCGCAGGAGGCCGACGAGATGATAAGCACCAACAACAGCAGTAGGCACGGGCTGGCGATGTTGATTAGCGCCTTTCGGGAGGTCAGCCTGGCTAGAAGAGATCTCGGTTGGGGGGTGGATGCGTTGGCCATGCGGCTTACCATGCTCGGCTTCCTTAGGCACGGGCGGAAGAATAACGCCAGTGATAGCGGTATTCCGCAAGAGGTGCGTACACGTGGTTATTGTTGTTGTTGTTGTTGTTGTCGTCGTCGTCGTCGTTGTTGTCGTCGTCGTTGTTGTTGTTGTTGTTGCCGTTGTCGTCGTCGTTGCTGTTGTCGTTGTCGTCGTGTTGTTATTTTGCTGTCGCTGTCGCTGTTGCTACTGCTGTTATTATCGTCGAAAATCCGCAGATGCTGACGTACCACTTGACGAAGTATTTGGCAAGTCTTGTTTCCTACCCACGCACCGTCGAACGACTCGATTTTCTCCCTCTCTACCCCGTCGCTTGACCGTGTAAGGTGGACTAAGTCGTGAATCTCTTCATCGGTGGCGAACGCCCCCCCCCCCCCCCCAACCTATTTCGGAACGACCCGGGCCCCCCATGGACTGGCCTGGAAATTAAGGTTTGCCTTTTCCTTTTAAAAAAAAACGGCTTTCTTTTTTCCAAACGTCTTGGCCTTGAACATTTCGGGGGAGCCCTGGCCCTTGCCCCCAAACACGTCAAACCCCCCAAGGGGCCCCCCCGGGTCCCCCCATTTTGTGTGGGAACCTGGCCCAAATTTCCTGGGTCTTGGAACAAAAACATGGGGCGGAAGGGGTCCCCTCTGTCTCCCTAAACCGCCAGTTTCATGGGTTTTTGTTGCCTCTACCAACAAAATTTTCTATTCCCAAAAATGTTTAAAAAAAAAAACCCCCCCACCAAACCCCCCAGGAAAATTTATTCACAAAAAACAA